AGAGGTTTCAGAATTCTCTCTGACAGTTTTTGAAGACAATCACTTTATCTGAACTAGGGTATTTTTGTCCGTTAATATGTTCAAATATTTTATTAATGTTTTCTCTTTAATTGCTACTGACACTATCATGTCATCCACAGTACAAGTTAATCTGGGAGTATATTTTCAGATTCTAAAACCTCCCACAAACTATTTAGTCCCTTTTACAGTGTTTCTCCAGTCTCCACAGAGATTCCTGGGTAGCAAAAATTAAAGAATGATACAACTGCAGTAAAAACAACTAATCATCTGTGTGTCTCTTCCCTTCCCCCATTCTAGCCTCACTGCCAAAAACGTAAGACTGCTGACAACCTAGAGAAAAGCGTTACGACAAGTGAGGAAGTACAGTACCTTATTTATCAAAACGTAATGACAAACAACAACTAATCTTAAGAAAATGGCATTTAATCAAATGCTAATAACAACAACTTCTTGTCAATGCTGCTTTAGGATAACAACACAAATGCCTTCTATACCTCCTACTCACCTAGCACGTTAATTAGGTCTGATTCCAAGTCATTTGAAGTCAATGGAAATTCTGCTACTGACTTAGAGGAATTCCGTTGTTAGAAAATAATTCTTTAACTCACTGATGTTCTTCAAAGAGTGTCTTCTACGTCACCCTGTCTTTGCTGCACTTACTTCTCTGGCACTGAAAGTGAAATCTTACGACTGGAAGTACCATCAAGTCATAATTGCCTTTACACATTAAGTGGCAGAGAAGCTATCACTTCACCTTCCTCATCAACCACACCTTTTTGAAACCACAGACTCCAGTGTAGCAGACAGAGCATGCCTATCCTCTCACAGAAACAGGTGTGAAAATTGAAGAATACTAATATGCTCTTGAAGTAAGCAGAAGCTATTTCTTCTGCAGATTTGTGTGCATGCTGCCTCAGCCTTACCTAAGAAATATCTTGTCAATGTATCAAAGGAACCTCAGATAGTAGCTTTAAAGTTTGAAGGACAGCAAAGGAAGCCATAGATACATTCTGAGGTCTTCTGTAACGCACTCCTCTCTAACAAGGCAAATCAACTGTTTCATTGATGATATAATGCAACAATGTGGTGCAAATGTTCATAATTATGTGAATAGTGTTTGGCATTAAATTGCTTTCCCTTTTGCTATTTCAGCACAAATCTCAGGAGACTTAAGTGTCTAGTGTCCACTTACACCGAAACAATGTTTTTGGAATACCTGAAGTGGGAAGTCTTCTTCCAAAATTATTTTCTTTCCCAGATCTCATGTCAGTAAGTTAAAAGAACAAATCTACTTTAGGGAAAAAAAAACTGTGACAGTTGATTCATAATGGATCAGCTATGGGAGCATGAATTTATCCTACCATGTCACTAGAGAAAAGCAATGGCAAAAAATGTGTGCTTAATGGTTCAAATGGAAGGCAGCATTGTAAAGATATACCAAGAAAACTGTCAGACGCTTCATAAACTCATTTGAAGCATAAATTCAACTCAACAAAATAAGTCTGCATTTGAAATTCCTGCACATCACAGAATGGAAAGTTCTAATTTTTACAGGAACTAGTGCTTTGTGCATTTCCACTATTGAGCTGCAAATAAGAGTTCAGAGTGTTTCTGTTCAGCCATACTCATTTAGTTTTGGACCTGTAAAGTAGACAATGGAGTACAGGAAATGCATGCTGAAACTGCAGAATATCAGGCTTAGGAGACTTAAGAGGACAGGATGTGAAATACAAACAGACAGTTTATCTGAGAATTTCAGTTCCTAGAAGCTTCTCCTTTCCTTTGGGAGACTGGGCACACAACCTATTTGAAATGCCAAGGCAAGACAGTGTTCCATCATGAAGACTGATCCAAGAGCTGTTCAGCAAATAGGCAGTTGGTTGCTCGGCTCATGTATGCAGGTGACCCTCAGAACCATGACACGGTGCTAGCCTCCAGGAGAGCGCACTGCAATGAATGCACTGTAACAATGATCCACCTTGGCTTTAAGGTGGATCCACACTTTCTCCTGGACACATCCCACCTGGATAACAAGCATGCAGACTTTCTAGGACATGCTGCTGGTCCTTCCTGGAGGAAGGCATAATATCTGAAAAGACACAGCATGCCACCACAACATCTCTTTGATCAGGCAGCACAACCACAGAGTGTTACTGTCAAGGTTGTATGTTCTGTCAAGAACAACATAACTAGAAGCCCCGAGGAGCTGCAGATGCCATCATAAAGGCAGTAGTTGAGGCAAACAAACAAACAAAAATCCCAAACTATGATAAGGCAGGCTTCTATGGCAGAAGACTCAAAAGAGCCAGAAGAAAAGATATAAAGACATTTCCTTAGAAAAAAAAATCCAATAAAAGTAAGTAATAGTAGCATAGTTAAATTGGGGGAAAGGTAAGGCTAACAGTAGTTGACACTACTATTATATGGGATTAAATATTCTTTCATGACCTTACAGTATTTTAATCACTTTTCCAAAAACGTCTTGAAAATGAAGATAACGTAGACATGACAACAAAAATTCGTGTTAAACAACGTTCACATAATAAGGCCTGTGCTTACCTTTAAGCTGTTACTCTTTGTAAGGCTGATTTTGACATTAGGCTCAGGAGACGGATTTCCCCACTGATCACACAGCTGAACAATAAGGGGCTTCTGCAATTCTCTACCATTAATCACTGCAACAGGCTGGAAGAGACACAAATGCACTGTACCATTCTGCCCTAGGTATATCTGACCTTCATGGCAGGTCAGGAATCCCCAGAGCAACAGTGTCTGCCTTTTACATACTATTTGTCTCCCACAACAGCTAGACCATGAGAGAATCGTAAAACTCCAGAAAGGTCTTTCTGGAGTTTTCCCATTTACAGTCTCTTGTCATTATAAAAGGCACTACTTGAACTGAATTGCACGGATTATTTGTGTTGACGTGACCGAAAGGAAGGACGTGCTTCTGAAGAGGCTTATCAAAGAGTTTTCTTGTCATAGAAAGAGCAAATGGCCTAAAACGTTTATCTTCCTATAAACATTGACAGCTTTCTAGAGATTAAAAATAGTTATGATACTCCCTGAACTTTTCGTTTTGTTTTTTTCAATCAATTCCTCCTCCATTTCCCCAACACACCAATCTTTATGCCTGTTCTCAGAGATCCAATTTTCTTTAACCTGCTTCCACTCCTATTGTGCTTTCTGCTGCAACTTCAGCGCTATCATTTGAACAGCCAAAATAAAACACTGAACAACAATAAACCACCCCAGCAAATAAATGGTATAAAAAAATCTCCATCCTTTTCATTTGATACAAGTACTGTACTGCCTTCCCCACTCTCTGACTGCAAACACTTGTAAACTCCAGTAAATTTGGAACTGCCTTCGCAGTAACAGATGAAGGTCAGATGAACTACCATCTATTACCACCATTAAGGACAGTATCTTTGTTAAACAGTGGCCGAAGACGGGTGTTAGGACCCCGCCCACAGTAAAACAGCTGCACCAAAGAAAAGAAATATGTATCATCTCTAGACAGGCAAATGGGACAGAATGAACAGTTTAAGAGATATTAAGGAATACAGTGTTGTAAACACACACACGAGTTAGATTACTCCAAAATAAGTTTACTTTTAAAAAACTAATGTAGTTACCTGTTGTATGAAAAACGCTTCACACCTGCAGTCCCATTTAAAACACATCTATATAATTAGATTGCAAAATACTTAATTTTGCTTGTGTTATGCTGTCCTGTATAGAATAAAAATGTCTCTAGAGCTGTCATATTCGTACCAATACTGAGAAATCGGGGTTTTCACCTTTGCATCCTGTGCTCCAAAAAGCTCTGGAAATAAAAAGACCTGCTGACTAGTGACCCTGTTGGTTTTTTCCAAACCAAAACTGTTCAACTTACCGTTTCTAACTCTGGCCAATCCACAAACTGCAATTTTGCAGGGGATCCTGCAGTTAAATTTACTCTGAGAAAGTCAGAAAATTCACGCCAAGCGAAGCACAATTCTTTGCTTCCAAGCAAACAAGGTTTAAACCGAATGCCTTTTACTGTCATTGTTTGAGTACTTTCCTATTGAGAAATAAAGAAAATTTTACCAAGTATTATTTATTCATTTTTTTTCAACATGGTATTTTAATATCTATGCTTGCTAGACTCTCTTTGCTGTTTTTACTGAGAAACAGTGGACTAAAAATTAAACTATAAGTTCTATTCCTTTTGTTAAATTAAAATGGACTTCTTGTGTAAGAGGTGAACAATTTCAAACTCAAGCATTTTTCAGGAACCTGCTTTTCAATGTGTAAGAGTTATGTACAACTTGGCTATATCCAACATACTTTAAAAGGTGTAGAAGGTGTCTTAAATTACACTACGGCAGACAACAGCATTAGGCTGTTCTAAAAGGTTCTTCAAGAGATCATAGAATCAACTGTACCACCATAAACACAGAAGACTAAAAAAAAGTTAGAAGATATAGAACAATGGACTAGAAACAAAGCAAACCCAACTCAAGCATGAAGTAAACTGGCCCCCATACTGTATAGCTGCAGCAGTGATAAAGTTTTTAACGGATGCTGATGTATTACTTCGAACAGGATCACATGATTTTAATGCTTTAAGTCTCTATATTTTCACAGTTTACCGAGTAGTGTTTAATTTGACCACTACCTTTCCACAGTTTTGGCTCAACTCGTTACCACACAAAGGCAACAGAGAAATAAACTATATGACATCTTATAAATACCTGCCAAGTTATTTTCAAATTTGATTTATCAAGTCCAGGCCCAGACACTCCTAGGGAATTTACACACGCAGATGTCACCGTCTGAACCTGGTTTCCATGTTGATCCGTAATCATTACATCTGTTAATGATGATGATTGTTCAAATTATTATCAAGATGATTACCTCAGCAGCTGCTTTAATGAAACATTATACAACATACAGAATACAAATGTATACAATATACACACAATATAGAGAAAATTTACATGAGTATCACTGAATCACAGAGTGGCTGAGGTTGGAAGGGACCTCTGGAGGTCACCTGGTCCAGTCCCCCTGCTCATGCAGTCACCTGCAGCCTGTTGCCCAGGACCATGTCCAGATGGCCTTTGAATATCCCTAAGGATGGCAACTCCACAAACTCCCTGGGCAACCTGTGTCAGTGCTCGGTCACCCTCACAGTGAAAACGTGTTTCCTGATGTTCAGAGGGAACCTCCTGTGTTTCAGGTTGTGCCCATTGCCCCTGGTCCTGTCACTGGGCACCACTGAAAAGAGCTGGGCTCCATCTTTTTTACACCCTCTCTTCAGGTATTTTTAGACATTGATAAGATCCCCCCATCTTGTGGGTATCACAAGGGTATAAAAAAAAAGTATATAGTCACATAACGTATCTGTGCTTCCTACCTTTTTTGAATAAAAAGATTATTTCTTGCTGTAAAGTTAAATGAAAAAAAATTTCTTAAGACTGAAAGCTGTTTTTCAACCTGTCAGTTTGTCCTATGTGCTCTTCTTCACTCACACAGCTTTTAATGTCGCAAAATACTGTAATATTTTTAATTTCTTACTATGCCATGTGTTTCTGCGTACAGAAATCAAAGGCAAATGAGAAGACTGATCTCTAGCATGCATCCCTCTTAGGTTAAAGTTAACCTTAAAATGTTTCACTTTGAAGTCCGTGCCTTTGAAATAGTCTGAAAGCTGTCACGACCTGTGAGATTTCAGAATATAAGAACTAAACAAAAATTTATGAACAATTTGAACCCAGTGTGATGAGTGTCCCAATGTACAAACTCAGAGGCAAATTTTACTGGAGAGTAACTCCAGAATTGTAAAGCGGCAATTAGAAAAGTCTGATCATCTTTCCATGAATGAGAATGTAAACCTGCTTTTATATTAAAACAGGGCAGATAATTCACTCTTGATGACATCTGTACAAATGACAGGCTAATAAACTGCAAAGAAAAAGAAATGTATCTTACAAGAAATTAAAGAATATGCAAATACTCACCGATTTCGCCTTGTAGTTCTTCACCCATCTGCAGCGTGCTTGGTCCCTTTAATTTACATTTAATGTGCTTGGGCTCATCAGGAAGTGGTCTAAGTCAGCATATGAAAATTGACTTATAATCATTCTCAGGAAGGGGACCACTTACAACATAATAGCAGGCATGATAAAGCATACAGCAGTTAGCACTCATTTCTAACTGGACTTTTTTTTTTTTTAATTTATTTTATCCTTGCACACATTTACAGGATCAAGCCTCAGGTGCACACAAGTTCAATGGCAATTACCATAGATCAGATCATTAGCCAGACAAAGCAGAATTCAAGTTTGGAGTATTTTCAGTCTTGAAAATAACCATCCCCAACACCTCTAAGCCAAAGTAACACACAATCGCCTACATATAAAATACATCGCTTACTGTAAAACCAATTACAATGCCAACATTAATCCTGATATGTACATACAAAGGCATCACAGTCTCCCTTGCTACAAAAATACTTGTTGACTTCTTCAGGACCTGATTACAACCATCATAGCTTAATATTTTTAGTGATACAGGTTTTCCTTAAAAGCAAAACAATACCAGAGCACATTACAAAAATTATGGAGAAGATGAACAACAATAAAAAAAGAAAAATCAGACTTCCATTTCCTCTTTTGCTATGATAAAGCAGAATACATCAGCCTAAACTATGCCTAGCATTAGTGTCTTAAAAATATTTTCTGGGGTGCTTTTAAACAATCTCAGCCTTTCCTTCCGTTTACTTGATGAAGGTTAACATACGTTATGTGCTAGCTCCCCAAATATTTAAGAGTTATCTGACATCTGTAAGTTATTTAAGAGTTATCCAACACAATGTTTTTTACTCTTTTTGCGTATTCTAAGATAAAAATTACACCGATATCTTTAACAATCCTGTTAGAACGACCTCCAGTTATTTTTGATGACAACTACAATAGAATAACCCTTAAATAGAACTTTCCTGATCTGAGAACTGCTTTTCAATGACAAGCAAAAATGTATTAAAAATATTCAATAAATCAATACACTGTTCTACTGCCTTTCAAGAACGGAGTTATTAATTCAGTCTGCTTTTCTGCTCACCTTAAAACAGTAAATACTATTTAACAATATTTTTCTGTTTCTGACAGTGCTGCATCATGGACAGCTTTTTACAAGCATTATGCTCCCAATATTTTAAAGAATCTTAACGCTTGGTCATGTAATTATATTTTTTTTTTTCTACTGCAGACCTGTGAAATGTCTAATTGTTGCAAATTTACCCCAGCATCCATGTGCTGTGAACTAGTTACTTATTTTTAACCTATTAAGAACACATGAAATACACCGAAGTCATTTAGAATCAGGTTCATCTTAACGAACTTTATAAAGATACCGTAAGTAGAGCTAACTGCTTAGACCCACTAAGAGTACAAGCCAGGCAATTTTAAAGTTCAATTTACAGCCGGTCACTTTTGACTGAGATACCAGATGCAGACAAATACTATCTTTAGCTTCAAATGAATAACCTCTGTAAGGGTAACAATTAACTTCCGAGTGACATTTCTCTTTGGTGACCAGTGACTCGACTCTTCAGTAAAACTAATTATTCTGTAAGCTAATGTTTACTGAAAGTTTTCAAAGACAGCAATAATCTGCTCCAGTATACATATATTTATAAAAGTGATCACAGGGCTGGACACAAACAGATCATGATGGAGTCTTTCACACAGGTAAAGTTCTCATTTGTAAACAATTTGCATAACCCCCCCCATCCACCCAAACCTACATTCCCCTATCACTTTGCCAACTGCTTTCACCATTTCCGCTTCCGTAGAAAGATATTTTTACCCCACAGTACAGATCTACAATCCTTTGCCAACAACGTAATTCATAAAAAAGTATTTCAAATGAACAAACCTGACTGTGAACGCACTCTCCAAAGACACGTGGTCATCAAGGTAAGTAATCAGACAGTAACGCACGTCTTTTACTGATGTTGGTACCTTTACATCGGGTAATAATCCCTGAATCAACTGTTCTCTGTTAATTTTAGGCGTCCAGTTAACCTAAAATTAAAATTTCTTAAATTAATCTAAAGCTAAACTATTAATGACCAGCTACAGAATGCATCTGTGGTCATTCTGAAAATGCTGAAGTAACATACAGGCAGTAGAAGCTCTCAGCGGAAAGCCTGTGCATTTCCCAACAGTAACCCAGCAACACTCACACACTTGCTGAAGCTCTGCCTTAGTATCAGGCTCCACATATGTACACAGACAGAGGGATAAGATAGGTGAGCAAATCTCCACCGAGGAACATGTCTATTCAAGGTTCTTAGATGTTGGGAAAAAACCAAATCTGAAGAATCACAACTGTGTCGGAATTATTTTATTGTGTTTAGAAGAACTGGAAATTACTAACCTGCTTTTCATAATACTACCCTGAGGCATTATTTAACATTTCATTGAATGTCTTTATCTCATTAAGGACACAATTTTAACAAAATTATTTTTAAAAATTCATTAAGCAGAGAGAAAAGTTCCCATGTTTAATAATACAATCTTGAGGAATATCATTTTGTAGTTCTGATGTCAGTGGATTTTAGAGAATCAGCATTGTATCTCATCCCCATATTACGCTGCTGTTTGCTCAAAAATACTTGCCTTGATTTTTTCTGCCATAGCTGGAGTTATGTGTATCTCCCTTTCTCCTTCATCATACATCTGAAATATAAGGTTGTGCATGACACCGCCAGCAACCCAATGAATTTCATCCTGATGTTTAATTTGAAGAGCTTTTTGTCCATCCATACTTAAGACCTGCAGTCTTGCAACATGACTGCTAGGAAGAAGTTTAATAATCTTTTCCACTGCTGGCACATCTTTACAACTCTATACATGGAAAAAAAAAAGTTATTAAATATACATAGATGCATAAATATCACTCCAGAATGGCCAGGTGTCCGAACGTGAAATCAGCTTGTCTGGTCAAAAGTAAATCAGAAGGATACGCCAGAATACTTACAACTTCTAACAGGTACTAGAATGGATGCTAGTTATGTAGAAAACATTTTCTATTCCAAAAGTACTATGTTACACAATTCACAAAATACTTCTTAAAGAGTAATCATTAAGTATCCTTTCATATCGGTCATCTTGCCACATTAGTATTTTCAGGGTAAAACACCACAGGTCTTACTTTCTCCAGCAGCGTGGCTCTCCTGACTACCAGAGAACTGGGATGTTCAACAGCATTAAAAAAAATTTTGAACTACAAGGGCTTTAAGCTGGAAATACTACAAAAAGCTACTGACTTTTAACCTTTGATAAAATATACCCTTCTTCACTAAAGTTTTCAGAACATGTTGCCATACCTATTCTGGCTCTAAATATTTATGCAATGAAGGCAATTTGTCAGAAAGATCTAGGGAGTACAAAGGGGAAGAAAAATCCCAGAAATAATGCATATTTCTGAAACAATTCAGGGACTTCTGAAATAAAGAGTAAGATGTGAAGAAAAAATTCTTTGCATTTTTATGATTTCCCAGAGGGGAAAAAGGGCAGCCACCTGCTAATCAGGCTTATGGTAACTAGAGCAGTAACTTTTGGGGGTTGATCCATAAAAGACTTAAGTATACTAGCAAGACAGTACAATAAACTGTTTTCAATCTTTTGTTCATCCAATCAATACTTACAAGAATTTCTATCCTTGCTTTCAGTATCTGGTCTTTCTTGATATTCTGTACATGTATAACTGGACCAGTTAAAATGTTTGTTCCTGCATTGCTGCAGTCCACAGAATACACAGGAAGGTTTGAAGCACCTAAAAACTATTTAAAATGTAAAATTAGATTTTAGGTTTTTTACAGAACTACTATGATTATTCCAGAAATAATTATTTGTACAAGTCCAAATAATTACAAAGGTTTATTTACAGATAAATTTGATAATTTCAGTCTTCCAGAAGCCTGTATGATCTTTCTTGAGTTAAAAAAACATTAAGTCCATAAGAGCAAAAGCTTTTTACTTCTAAAAGCCACAGTAACCCCTGCATTCTCTTTTGAACTTAGGTAAGTGCTTATGATAACAATCTTATCTAATATTATTTTTAGGCACTAGAATCACATTTTCTTCTTTAAAAAACCCCAGAAGTCAGCTGTAGGAAGCTTTTTTTCATGTACAAATTTTTGTATATGGCAAATACGACTTAAAATACCTTAAAATTGTAGCTATATATCCTCACATAATTTTCTCTACCATTTCTAAAGCCAGGTTCTCCGATTCTAAAACTTACTAAATGACTCATAATAGATGAGACAAGAGACACAGTTATGGCTATCAAGCTACAGAAAGCTTAAAAGCATTATTAAAGATGATAAATTCTATCCAGATGCCAAAATAGGCTCTTTTCCCAGCCCTTTAAGAACCAAATATCAAAAACCTTATGACACATAATGAAACGCAGTTTACCTTACAATGAACGATCAACTTTGGCTGTGCTGTTATATTTCCCGATTCATCCAGTACTTCAACCTGAAAGGGGAAAGCTGTACCATTTTCAATCTTTAGAATTTCAGAATCCGGTTTTACTTTCAGTTGACGAGGAGGGCCTGTAAAAATGCACAATGGCAGAGCAGTGGTTAAATTTCAGATAACTTGTGAGACACCAGATTTCAGTTTTTGCTATCTCAAAAAGGTTTTAAAGCCAAGCTACCAATACATTTGTGATAACGAACCATTTAGACCAATTCAAGTGTATGGGTTCACGCTGAGAAGTTCTAGACACTTCCCATCCTTCAATACATACCACCTGCCAATCTTTGAACGAATTCAGTAAGGAATAGTTAGACTAACATGATGAGCTTCAGCATATACAAGGTGCAAACACAGGATATAGTGCTATTTACATACTACACAGATTCACGCTCATTGAAAACAAACCTGGAGCTTTCTCCTGACATGTTTAAACCAAAGACATTATTGTTGAGATATCTGATCAATCATGACATGCAGCAATTTAATTACCAAACCCACTACAGCTACAACTTGCATGCAAAGAAAAGCCAAAAAAAATTTGTGGGCATTACTTGGATAGTAAAGTGAAGCTATTCAAGTAAGTCTGCCCTCTGGAACAGATAATTATTTTATCAGTTTGAAAAAAGAGAAGGAAATAATAGAATACTATTAAAAGACAACTTCTGATGGAACAAAGGCGGCCAATTTCTTTTTTCAGAAACATCCTTTATGCATCATTCATTAAAACTTCCATTTCAAACTCACTGGCTGAAGAACAGGAAAGACTGAAGTAGTTTTTATTCACTCCTCCCTCAAAAAACAGCTTTAAAAGCCAAGAATAAGTCCAATGAGAAGAAAGAGGTAGTGAAGCATCTCTACATTGCCAAAAGCAAAAAAATTCTAACGAAGGATGAAGATGCTTTCAGTCCAAGGTAAACAACTAAGCAATACACAACAGAATCGGTCTCAAGTCAGATCGTTCCACTCCATTTTCTACATGAAGCCTTAAGTCCTCAAAAGATAAAGAACAATAGCATAAAGTGTGCATTGTTGGTCTAACAAAGCTTGAAGCACACAATTTCTCTGCAAAATGAGATGGCAAAGCCTAAAGTTTGGTAATCTGGGCAGCCAAAAATTAGCCTTCAAACTTCACTGTTTCTCCCAAATCCAGAAAAACCCAGGCCACAAGCATAACAGGTATGCTATCAGGGAATCCTCAGTATCAAGACATCCACAAAACATAAAATTCTGGTAAGGGCAGTGGACTCAGACTTCTATATTCCTCTCTCGCATTATGATAAATGTAATACTAAAAACTTCAGACACAATCCCCACTGCCAAAGCATCCCCCCTTTGCTGGGGTAAGAAACTGAATGAGCACTTACTCATTCACAAGATGTTTTCTACAGGGAGAACAGGTCGATGCAGATTAGTACAGGTTAAAGGGCTTAATGCTAAGGAAAATCAAGAAGATAAGAAATTCATTCATTCAGTGGTGCCAGGTTAGAAAAAGATTTAAAATAATTAAAAAAAAGTTGTGAAAAATCAGTGTCAAGTAAGCAGACAAATTCCAGCTGCTAGAATAATAGACAAGATTGGGCTGTGAGTTTGATGTTATTTCTGCCAAGAATGACATGCCCTTAGCTTCATTTAGTTTCAGTCATCGCTTGGATGAGCTAGAATACCCTTTTTTATGCCTCACTAAATATTTTAACTTCTTGGGAGAAGTAGCTTTTCATTAATAGTGTCAGAATAAAGTTCAACAGGAACTCACTAAATATTTTCAGGATACTTACCAGGCTGCAATCTTATTTTAAAGATCTGTGTGTCTTCTTTCAAACCAGGAAGAGTAACCTTCAGGTTAAAGTTCTAATGAAAAGAATATTTTAAATATTAACCTTAAACAAAACCAGACAATAAGTTATCTCACATAGTGAATTTATAAATACATAAATTTCAGAAGTAAATCCAAATTTTCTTGCACTACTACATAAATGAAGATTTTTTTTCCTGTACTAAAAGCTGTCTTTTTCATGTTACTATTCGCAGAGATGTTCCATCTAGGATTTGCATGTTAAACTACATGGTTCTGAAACCATTAAAAGCAGCTATCATAACTTGTGGTTTCCTGCTTAGAGGCTGTTTTAGACAGGGCAGGGGATGGGATAATTTCAAAAAGAGTAGTTTTAAAAAACGGGTCTGCAATTTCCGTGTTCATTATTCCTTAGCTAATTGCCTGAAGCAAGGCACCACAACTACTATCCATCATCTTTGAATAAGGCCATAAGAAATGCTGTGAAACTGAATGACTAAAACTGATTTTCACGTTAAAATCAGAGAACGAAGCAGTCTGATCAATAATCTTAAAATCTCCAACTTCAAAAAGCTAGTTGCACTGCAACTATGTGAATTTTTTATTTTTTATACCTGATATTTGAGAATATTTAATTACAATTCATAAATTGCCATTTTCTCATGTTCAGAAATGCTGCCTCTGGAAAGGTTTAGACTCACAACCCTGGCTCACGCCCCCCCATGCCTGACAGGGTACGTGTGACATTTAACACTTGCAGAGCGGATGACAGCCACCAGGCAATTCTTTTCGTTTGCTGGGTAAGGGAAGCAGAAAGGGCAGTGAAGCCTGGGCAGGTGCATCACAGCTGCCTGCAGCCACATGGAACACACCAGCTCCCCAGCTGAGGGCTGGCCACAGCGGGTGCGTGGAAATTCTCCAGCTCTGACCAGCCAGCCACACTGCTCTGCCTGCCAGCCAAGCAGGACCCGTCAGCTGGAGCCTCATCAAACCAAAAGGTGAACCACAAGAAAAGGGGAAGGCAAAATACACTCAAGTTATAGGGGGATGGGGGAAGAAAAAGGGGAAGAAAAGGGAAAAATAAGGTAGGAAATAAACCCAGAGGAAACCAGTATAGCTGATAGCTGCTGTTTAATGTTAGTAAGTTGAATTCTTCAGTAGTTCATTCAATCGAGCTTTGTATTCACGCACTAGACACTCCTCCAATGACTCTCTTTGAGTTTCAACTCCTTTTCTGCAATATGAGTTTTTTTTATTTCATACTTTCTTCTTACTGCTGCCCTCTTTGAGTTTCAATCCCTTTTCTGCAATATGAGGTTTTTTATTTCATACTTTCTTCTTACTGCTGCACTATATTCTGCCTCTAATTTATCAGTTTACATCTTTAACTTCATTCCTTTTAACTTTTCAATACGTGTCCTCTAGGGAAGTTCTTTTCCCTTATCCTTCACGATCCCCTTATCTACTTTCCTTTGGCTTTCAAGTCTGCTTCTATGTATACTGCAGTATTTAAAATGAAAAGAAAAATAACAAACTATTGGTTCCCTTTTTTTAAACTCCTTTCTCACCCTTCTCCTGACTGCATTTGAAATCCTACAAGGGAGCAGTTTTCTTGATATTGATTATGCACTCGTCTTTAAATTTTCTCTTTGATTCTACCCACAATCAAAGTGTACTTCTCTCTATCTTGACTGTTTTGGGTGGAATCAAGTCAATAACTACAGAAGTAAATGAAGTCTGCTTTCTCCTTCTTCTCTATCAGTGCTTCCTTCATTGATGACTGTGATACTCTGTATTCCCTATCTCAATCAAGTTTCTCTTCTTCATTTAGCATGATTATTCCTTCGACAATTTTTTCCTTACTCCTTTCTCTGAAAAATTTTAATTTTTTCCATGCTCTCTATTTCTTCCTTTTTATTCTCTCATTCACTTTCTCCTTCTAAATTCTTTCCAGAATCCTATTACTGTTTGTCTGAAATATTTTAGCTGTTCCACTACCATTTCAAAATCAACTTCTAAGGTACTGAAAATTTCTCCTATGTTCTTCTCTGCTTCTTATTTCACATTAAGCAGTAAAAATTACACTGCATTTAAGTTCTAAAATTATCTGTTGTTTTTAGTCTGTTGTCCCACCATTCTGTTTTTTGCCATTATACTTCATTACCATCTTAAATGGTCCTTTTTTAATATAAATTAGAACCACTCTTTTCAGTGCCAGTTCCTGTACTGCTTCCAACATTTTATGCAATTAAGCAACGTGAGAAAATAATAGCCCTTCTTTTCCGTTATTATGGCATGGTATTATTTCTGTACTGCAAGTTCCTTAAATGATTCTTGGTCTTGCGCCTCACCAAATTTAGGTCTTGCCACAGCCTGGCACTTTTGCTCCTACACACTTTATTTCCCATAACCCTCTGTCTTCCGTCATTCTTCTTACCCTTCACCTACAAAATTTATTTTATATATTACATTCAACACCCTCCAGTTTTCAATAAGCAGCTATATGGTCCCTCTTCTCTTTTATGCACCTTTCTACTGGCAACATTATTTGCATTTTTCTAAGCAACGATATCAACAGTATAACGAGGTATCTCCAGCTGCCTCAGTTCCTAGCTTTCTCTTTCCTCTGCTAGACTGCATGACTAAATGAAAGGATTACGAACCTGGTCAGAATACTCTGTAAATATGCCATATACATGACTTAGAAATTATTTATTAAAATCTTCAAATCTACATTTATCAGGAGCATTAAGATTTTTTTTATGAAAGAAATATTTTTAGCACATAACCTATGTTTTTGGTTTTTTCAGTAAATTAGTAGCTTGAACAGGTGCTGAGAATCTGTCAGTAAGATCTATTTGCTACAAAAGTGAGAACAGCATTTTAGAAATGTCTAGAGAAGCTCCAGTAGTTACCACTCATGTTAACTATTACTTCTCATCATTTCAACTACAAGAATGAAAGATTTCCATGCTCCCTATGCTGTTTCAGCACAAAAGTCACCAGGATGATTTGGCTTAAACCAATTTCAGCACCAGTTCAAACTAACACAGCTGATTCAGCATGCTGGGTACACTCTACCACACCCCACGTGTGCTCAGCC